TACAGCTGTGATTGTTGTTGATGACGAAGCAGCTGCTGCCTTGATTGTCACTGACCTTCTCCAGATCTTCAAGGTAAGAGAGTAGAGACCAAAATAGCGCACATCAATCGATTAATTCTCTCCGGACGGCCTGTGTGAGCAAACACTCATGCAGAGAGACCGTGACGAGGCTCTGTAAGTGAACTCTGTGGTTTGTATGGATGCATGGGATGGTTAATGGCACAGTACACGTGAGAGAATGAAAAAGTTTCCCCCTCAGACTCGCGAACATGGTCGCTTCCACTTCACGTAAATAGCGCCAAATCATCCATTTCATTGGTTTAAATTCAGAGGAGACGGTAATTGTTTAAAATTAAACATTTGATTTCACTGAAAAGTTAAAATCTGCATTAAAAATTAACAAATGTTTTACCTGTTTTATTTGTTACTTGTTTTTAAGTTGTTTTACTCACAGGGTCCGAGGTCCGGATTATCCAACGGGCATTATGTGGCCCTAGTGAGGTAATAAATAGCCTATAATAATAACAACAAAAACAATAATAAGTATGTTGTTGTTATTACAACAATAATAATAATATTAATAATAATTCAAGGGCGACACAGTAGCTTAGCACTGTCGCCTCACGGCAAGAAGCTGGTTTGAGTCTTTGCTGGGTCCGTTGGCATTTCTGTGTGGAGTTTGCACGTTCTCCCCGTGTTGGCGTGGTTTTCCTCCAGGGTGCTCCGGTTTCCCCCACAGTCCAAACACATGTGCTGTAGGTGAATTGAATAAACTAAATTGGCCATTGTGTATGGATGTTTCCCAGTACTGAGTTGCAGCTGGATGGGCATCCGCTGTGTAAAACATATACTGGAATAGTTGGCGGTTCATTCCGCGGTGGCAACCCTGATGAATAATGGGACTAAACGGAAGGAAAACGAATAAATGAAGTAGAATGAGTAGTGTCTAGTGATAAAAAAATGTAATGGGAGTAAAAATAAATAAAGAAGAACAAACAAACTAAAAAAACATTAACAATAATTCTTAGTAGTTTTAATGACCTGATGTATAGTGAAAATAAGAAGTAAATAATACACCTCAGCATTGTTATTTATAGACTTGAACTGGGCAAAAATAGCAATTTGCTGCACAATGTAAATCAATTATATTTTTATAGTATATTACACGTATATAATCAGAATTTTCCATGATAACAAATTATATTTCTCTCAAAATCTGCCGTTAGTAATATGACATATAAAGTTGAAGTCAGAATTATAAATGCTAAAAAGTTTGTTAATGTAAAAGAGGTTAGCAACAAAGCACTTTCTGCTTTCAAAAAAAGCCTGACTCTTTACCTCAAGAATAGTTTTTATGAATGTATAAACTCATATCTCTATGCCCAGTGGCAGTAAGGGTCATTTTTCCTGTCTTTACCGGTTCTCAGACCAGTAGCGGGTGGTTTATTCAGCAGGGAAGAGGAAGGGAGATTTCAGATATTCTGGATGTACCAGGACTAAACAGGAAGTCATATGATATGCCTTTTGCGTCATGTCAATTTTGCAATCATGACTAACATTATGAATTCCTTAATGAATAAAATGAACAATTGCTTCATGAAGAAAATAAAGCTAAATTACTCCTAAAAGTTAACATAATTAAATAGATATTTCCTTCAAAACTCGACATAAACAGTCTCTTAACAGTGCGTTTGTTCTTCGGAAGGAACAATTTGTTCTGAAATGCTTTTTTTTTTTTTTTTACCTCACGACCTTCATTGCTTTTACCGGGAAAAAAAAATCCTCCCCAATAAAAACATAAGCAATGGCGCCATCTTGTGGCAAAGTAGGCAATTTAGCGGTGTTTGTGGCTAGACTGAGCCGTTTTCAGCTCCACAGCCACAACAAACAATCGTTTAATTTGTCAGATTACGAATACATTTCATATCTCAACGTTGAATATCTGATAATCTTATCAGGTAGAGTTTGTTAGCTAAAACGTCGCCACATGTCGAGCCAGTTGTTCATGCTAATATTGGTTTGAATAAATCAAACATTGTGATTCTCAAAGAACAGGACTGACTTTAATTAATCTTTGTTAACATTCAACATCAAAACATTGTGTCCATACAAGCATTATGAGTTTGCCATATATAGCTTTAGATCAAAACATGAGGCTAAGTCAAAGCAAGTGTTAAAAGCTTGAAACCATCAATGCATTTAAAACTGGAAGCGAGCTATACTTTTTTACTGCGATTTTCTTGGATTGTCTCATAAAAGTTAACACCGTTTGCACATTATTTACAATACAGTCCATAGCACATGGTGTGAACACCATAAATACAGCACAATGAACGAATACATTCATTGGATCTTATTTACAAAACATGGGCAGAACCGAGCTTTCTGTATCAATCTATGTGAGGATACTTTTATGATAAAGCTCGTTATTGTAGTTATTTTGGATGCCTCTTTCATGCTTTACACATGATTTTACCACCTGGCTGAAGGTATGTTGACTTAGATGTGTTATTAAGTTTTACATTCAGTTAAATCACTCTATATTATTATAGACATCATTTAATACAGACAGATAAGTGATGGGTATGCTTTGAATGCACACAATGTCAATCTTAATGCATGATATATTTATATAGATATCTGTCAAAATACACATCAATCTGGATATACTTGAACTTACTATCCATGTCTGACTCTGCTGAGATGAATGAACCAAAAGCATTATGAATTTCAGCATCATTTTAGCAGTATCCAACAGCCTAGACTTTTTATCACACTAAAATTGATCAAATATGCCAAAAGCAATTTTTATACCCAAGATGATCGTGCAATATATAGATGTCTGCCAGAGGATTATAATAATAAATAATAATAATAATGTAACTGTGACTTATCTCAAATTCAAAGTGTTTTTTTGTGTGTTTATTTTTACAATTCAGACTTTTTTTTTTCTTACAGTTCAGTAAATAAGTCAGAATTTAGAGTTTTACATATATATCATTCATTTATTCATTTTCTTTTCAGCTTAGTTTCTTTATTAAACTGGGGTCGCCACAGTGGAATGAACCGCCAACTTATCCAGCATATGTTTTACGTAGCGGATGCCCTTCCAGCTGCAACCCATAACGTAGAAACACCCATACACTCTCATTCACACTCATACACTATGGACAATTTAGTTTATTCAATTCACCTATAGCGCATGTGTTTGGACCGTGTGGGAAACTGGAGCACCCGGAGGAAACTCACGCCAACATGGGGAGAACATGCAAACTCCACACAGAAATGCTAACTGATCCAGCGGAGACTTGAACCAGCGACCGCCATATATAATATACAGGGTTCATACAAAATTTTTACTACTAAACTACTTTTCCATGACTTTTCCAGGACTTTCAAGTAAATTTTCATGACCTAATATTTCATATAATGTCTACATATACGTGGTAAATGATAAAAAAAGAGATGCATGTTGAAAGTTATTACACCATATTATAAAACATCTAACTATTTAGTTTAAATTAATCTTTATATCTATGTAAAATGTATTTAGATAATGCTCACACAGCAGTAATAATGTAAGAGCATGTGTTTAACCATGGACAGAAAATAAGTAAAGACAACTAACCTATATTTAAGTATACAGACATGTTAAACTATTTTCCATGACTTTTCTAAACTTTTGGGTTTTTCAGTTTTTCCAAAACTTTTCCAGGCCTGGAAAATGCTAAGTCAAAATTCCATGACTTTTCCAGGTTTTTCATGACCGTATGAACCCTGAATATAAACACATATATAATATAAACACATACACTACGGCCAATTTAGTTTACTGAATTCACAGCACAGCATCTTTACCAGATTCGAATTTTGCTTTTACTCCGCCCCCGAAGCCCCAGCTGGCTCACTTTGGCCCAAGGTATTTGGCGGGCTGAAAAGGCTGGCCGCTGGCCCTGAGGACACCCAGCTTTGGGCTGATCAGGCCCTGGAAGAGACTGTGGAAATTTGACTGGCCCTGGCCCGCACTGGCTTGCTCTAGCCGCGACAGCGGAAAAGCAGCTATTCACACACACTACGGCCAATTTTTTTTACCCAATTCACCTATAGCGCATGTCTTTGGACTCTGGGGGAAACTTTGTGCTATAGATGAATTGGGTAAACAAAGTTGGCTGTAGTGCATGAGTATGTGTGTGAATGAGTGTGTATGGGTGTTTCCCAGCACTGGGTTGCGGCTGGAAGGGCATCCGCTGCGTAAAACATATTCTGAAATAGTTGGCGGTTCATTCAACTGTGGCGACCTCTAAAGTAGAGACTAAGCCGAAGGAAAATTAATGAATGAGATGTTAATCTGTGAAAAAAAATAAAAATGTGGACTTTAAATAAAAGTTTGGACTTTAAATTTGGAAAATTTGGACATTTAGTTTCTATTCCTTGCCACTAAAAAAATTATTCAAAGATTATTCCTTGGATTTACTAAATTCTTTTAAGTTAAGAGGTTGTAAACAATTTATTTGGGTTGAATTTAAAGAAACAAATTAAATTTAACATTATTAAGCTTAATTTGTTTGATTAAATTCAACCCATATAAATTATTAGCAACAATTTTGCAGACATCATTTTTTTCAGTGTGGATGAAACAGCTTCAATGGCAACGTGATGAGGTTTGAGCCTGCAGTTTAGCATAATATTTTGAGCATTGCAAAAAGTGTATATTGTCATGCAACAATCAGATCCAAAGTAGGATTTTTCCTTTCCTTTTTTGTTTTGGAATAGAAATATTGCAGTGTTTATTATAAACAATCTATCCATGCACATTTTTAAAATATTGATAAATGCATGTGCCCTCATCATATTTAATAAAAAAATATGCAGCATTTTGTAGCATGCTTTAAAGTTCTCCACTTGGAGGCAGTGTAACCTCATCACGCTGCAGCTTTGAGTCTCAATGCACACTTAAATGCATTTTTAGAATATGCTTTAATTCTATAATCATGCACTCTTCAGCTGAGCTGCTCTGTTGCGAACGCTTGATCTCTATTAAGACAGAGTTTCGTGGCTGGTGTGTTTTCGTCTCTGACCTCCACCAGACATTGGGATTTGGTGCTCTTCCGCTGACTGCGTCGTGGGTCCTCACCATGGAGGCTGGTGTCGACGCGGGACAGGGTGCACATGCTGCTCTGGTTGCGTGGATGGAGCCGGGTGGGACGGAGTTCCAGTTCGTCATAGCTGGACACCTGAATGAAGGGACACCACCTGAAGGCCCGCTTGAAGCCCGCGCGAAATCTGGAGGATTGGAATTAATGATTTCCTTAATGTAATTAAGTTCATCTTTTTTTTTTTTCATTAGTTTATTTATTTTAGTTTTTTTCTTTTTCATAGGATATGTTTGTTTTTAACTAATAAATTTAATTTCATTTTGAGGGGATAGTGGGAAAATAAGAAAATCAAGACAGTTTGTAATTCTTATTCTGCATTTTATACTAATATATATGGTCTTGTTAATACCAATAATAATAAAAACAAGTTAATTTAAGAATGTCGCGAATAATATTTATAATTTAATATATTTTAACATTTAATTAAATATATATTTATCTTTTATATTTTACATTTAATCAAACTTAAATTAAGTCACTCGTTCATCCTTTCATAACAATATATATATATATATATATATATATATATATATATATATATATATATATATATATATATATATATTAATATGACACAAAAATGTTATTTTTAAATATAAATAAATAATATATATATATGAATTCAGGGCTAATCTGAACCGATGGTACTTTTAATAATATTTATAGTATTTTCTAATATTTATTTGCACCATTAGTGTTATTACCTGCCATTCAGACAGCAGTAAATGATGGGGTTGTACATGGTGGAGCTCATGGCCAGCCACAGCACAGACAGATACACCTGCTGGATGGACTTCCACTTGTTCAGGCGTTTGTTCAGGCCTGTTACGATGAAATAGATGTGATACGGCAACCAGCAGAGGGCGAAAGTCACCACCACCACGATCATCATCTTCACCACCTAAGGACAGACAAAATGAGCATCAGCAGTCACAACACCAAGCATATGTGAGCAAAACAAGAGTTTCTGTCCTGGAACAAAACAGCATCAGGGAAAGCCATGGTTCAGCTCGTGTAAACATTTTGGTGGTGTGATTGTGGCCTCCATCTGCCAACTCAAAGCCATCTGCTTCCACTGTTCAGTGAACAAAAACTAAGACCGGAAAACTTATTTAATGAATACCAGAATTTGATTCAAGTAATAATTCTGCAACCTGGACTGAAAAAAGATCAGTTTCTTTATTTTTATAAAGTGAATATACCTATTGTAACTTTGAATTACTAAATTAAAACTGTTAACTTATTTTTTTATAATTATGTACAGTACATTTTATATTTAGCAAATTTTACTGTTTATAATGTAATGGGTTTACTCACTTTCGTTTAAAATAGTTAACTAAGCCCATTAAAAGCAATGAAAAGTAAAGTCAAATAATTACTTAAAAGCACTGGGTTTACTCACTTTCTTAAGCAAAATCAACTAATTGCCTTTAAAAGCATAGGGTTTACTCACTTTCAACTAATTGCTTTAAAAAGCAAAGGGTTTACTTACTTTCTTAAGGAAAGTCAACTAATCCCTTTAAAAGCACTGGGTTTACTCACTTTCAATTCAATTCAATTCAGCTTTATTTGTATAGCGCTTTTAAATTGTAGATTGTGTCAAAGCAGCTTCACATAAATGGTCATAGTAACTGGAACAGTGTGGTTCAGTAACTGGAACAGTGTGGTTCAGGTTTTAGTGTTTAAGTTCAGTTCAGTTCAGTTTAGCTCAGTTCAGTGTGATTTAATCATTACTGAGAGTTCAAACACTGAAGAGCAAATTTATCGATGCGTAGCTCTACCAATCCTGAACCATGCGAGGCAGTGGCGACAGCGGAGAGGGAAAAAAAACTTCACCTGATGGGAGTGAAGAAAAAAAACCTTGAGAGAACCAGACTCAGTTGGGCACGACCATTTTAATTTCTCCGCTGGCCAAAAGTAAAGCTTTCTTAAGCAAAGTCAGCTAATTGTTATTAAAAACACTGGGTTTACTCACTTTTAATTAATCACTTTTAAAAGCACTGGGTTTACTCTGCTTCTTAAGTAAAGTCAACCAATCACTATAAAACCACTGGGTTTACTCACCTTTTTCAAGTAAAGTAACTAATCTCTTTAAAATCACTGAGTTTAAAAAAGTAATCATTTTATAATCGGTCAAGTAATCGCTTTAAAAGCACTGGGTTTACTCTGCTTCTTAAATAAAGTCAACTAATCTCTTTAAAAGCACTGGGTTTACTCACCTTTTTAAAGTGAAGTCAACTAATCGCTTTAAAAGCACTGGCTTTAACCCACTTTTAAAGTAAAGTCAACTGATCACTTTAAAAGCACTGGGCTTCCTTTTTAAAGTCAAGTAATCAGTTTAAAATCACTATGTTTACTTTGCTTCTTAAGTAAAGTCAACTGATCGCTTTAAAAGCACTGGGCCTACTTTTTAAAAAAAGAAAAGTCAACTAATCTCTATAAAAGCCCTGGCTTTAACCCACTTTCAAAGTAAACAAAAAAAGTCAACTAATTACTTTTAAAGTAAATTCAACTAATAGCTTTAAAAGCAAAGGGTTTCCTCACTTTTATAAAGAAATTCAACTAATCTCTATAAAAGCACTGGCTTTAACCCACTTTTAAGTAAAGTCAAGTAATCACTTTAAAAGCAGTGGATTTACCCACTTTTAAAGTAAAGTCAATTAATCACTTTAAAGGCAACAGGTTTACTAACTTTAAGTAAAGTCAACTAACAACATTAAAACCACTGGATTTACTAGAGTTTTTAAGTAAAGTCAACTAATCCCTTTAAAAAGAATGTGTATCTCATTTCTGTGTTAATCATTTTTAAAACACTGGGTGTACTCACATTCTTAAAGTAAAGTCAACTAATCACATTAAAAGAAATGGGTTTAACTCACCATTTTTTAAATAAATTCAACTAGCTGCATTAAAAGGAATGGGTTTACCCACTTTTTTAAAAGTAAAGTTGATCAAACACTTTAAAAGCAATAGTTTACTAACATCTTTGAGGTAAAATCAAATAGTTTTAAAAGCAACAAGTTTACTCACTTTTTTAAAAATGAAAGTCAACTAATCACTTTAAAAGGGTTTACTCACTTTTAAAGTCAAGAAAGTGCTTTACAACCAAGAGGTTTAATAACTTTTTAAAGTCAACAAATTGCTTTTAAAGCAATGAGTTTATCCACTTTTAAGTCAACTAATCGCTTATAAAACATGTTTATTCATGACAACATTTTTAAAGTTAATAGTTACTTAAAAAACAACAGATTTTATACCTTTTAAAAATAAAGCAAACTAAAGCCAAGCTTTTTCACAGTGTGCCTGATTTGCTAACTATATCCCACAAACTTAAATATTGTGACATTTTATCAGCCATTTAACACAGCTTTAACACATTATATAAAGTACCATAGAAATAAAGGGACTTCACTTGATTTAGCAAGCTCCTGGACCAGTCATCAGGCATGTGAGTCAACCTCAGTTTAGAGTCCTGGTAGTTTTTCATCACTAAAGTGCATGAGGAATCTGCTTTGTGCCAAAAAGTATTATTAGTATATTTAATATGTAAATGGTACCACAGGATGATTCTGTTTTGATTTGTTGTCTCTGGCAGAATGAAGCGTATTGCTCAGGGGTGCAGGAGTCATTCATTCTTGTTAGGCTAAATCCCACACAGCCTGACGTCTGACTAGAAGCATCTGCTCCGCATTGCAGCACATTTTTCAACGAGATGTCACCGTACCAGAGATGCTGGAGAAATTTCTATAGCACTTGATCATGTCAAAGCAGCTTCACAGAGATGAATGGGCAAACAAATGGTCAAGTACAACGCTTCAGCAATATAAAACAGGTTCAGTAAATCAAGAGTTTCTGCAGAAATGTGAAACCACATGAGGATCTCATGAGGAAACAATAATTTTACATAGAAAAGTGGCTCATTTGTACAAATTCATATTTTATATGTACAAAAATGTAAGATTTTTAAGGCTTATCCCCAAGTACCACCCATAATCCTACCTCTCATTGGGGGATGTGCAAATAATACTAAAATGTATGAACGAGATCAAAGAAATGAATACAAATTTCCCACTAGATAAAAGAATAACGAATTGCCATGAGATTGTATTGGAAATGTTGGTTTTCACTTCAAAGTTTGCAATTAAATGGTAGAACAGCTCTGATGACCTCGACTAGGCAATCCAAAGGCAAAAGTGGCAAAAAAAAAAACTAAAATCCATCAAGTAGCCTCTGGTCAAGTGAATGAATTAGAGCTGCGGTTTAGCCAAGCATGATGGGTTGTATAGGAGCCGCCACTGTTCGCCAGAGGCCACGGCCTGCTGTTATTCACCATGTCGGGGAGGGAACTGGGTTCTGTGGTGCTCATAAACCAGCTGTTGCCAACCAACAGGGGACTGAAACACTGTCATGTAGTGTGACTTGGGGACTATTAAACAGGTTGAAGACCAAACAGCAATGTAATTTTTTTCTTTCAAGGCCTTTAAGTTTTATTTACCTCAGAATAACAATTTGGTTTTGGAAACCTTTCTTTGTTTTTGAGGGGTTTTCACATTTTTTAATGCTATAAGACAGTGAAGATTTGACAGGAAAGTGTACGGAGTAAATTAGAAATTAGTAATTAAAACTATTATCCCACATTGCAAAATTTCTCTGGCCCAGATCTGGCCCACACAATCAGCTTTTGCTTGGCCCACATGCCGCAGTGAATTACGGGACATGATTGGACCAAGTCTGGGTTCCATACAAGAGCCAAACATGGACCATATCTGGGCTAAGTCTTAGCCAAGTTAATAACCCATAACTGAGCCTGAACTGGGCCAGATATGTTGATGTGTGAAATTTTCTCTTTACTCAAAAATAATTTTAATGTATTTTAAAAATGGGTCAAGATGGACCAAATTTAAGTGGCCCACATATAAATATTTAACATCTGGGTCAAATACTACATTTGATATCTGGCCCAAGTCTTGTGTGCCACCTTGAAGACGGTGCTACCTCTGCCAAACCAGGGGCATGTTTGGCCCACATGCTGTATGCCAGTGCTGGAAGAATGCCAGCTGTGCCAGCTTCATGCCAAATCTGGGCCAGAATTCTTTGCTACCTGAGATGTTTATACATGCATAAAAATCCTCTCTATGTTAGACAGAAGTTGGGAAAAATATAAAAGAACAAACATTTAAGAAAAGGGCTGATAAAAGCTAATAAAAAACTTCAACTATATATGTAACCCACCAGTCCTACTGCACCCAACCTACGCTGAACTGGGATCCAGCCAGCAAGTTTTCCTTTGTTACACTAAGCTCCCTAAACCCTATTCCCATCCCTGACAAGTAGGGTTGGGCCGATAGACGATGCCATCGTCCATCGCTAATGGCCAATAGACAACACGATGCTGAGCCGGCATCATCGATCCTCCGCACCGCCCCCGTTGCAAACCCGCTCGCAAAAAATACCCTCTTAGGCCCTGTGTACTCTAATACGTCTTAGTATTAAAATGGCATTTTAGTACGAAAATGATCCACATCCACACTGTGTTTTACCTAGCATTTCTAAACAGCCCTCCGTCCACTGAAAATGCACATCACGTGACCACACACACACAGCCACACACTGTCATGCGCTTGTCTGAGCTCCAAAGAGCAGTGCGCGTCAGACAGTTTATCAAGGATGTACCGCTGGATCGCGTCTCACTATAGTTGTTAAACGTGATATTTAATTAATCTTGTCTCTATCTCACGACTCTTCGGTCGTTTGACTCTATCAGGTAACGTGTCACAGCATCAGTACACTGCTTCAGTCTTTCACTTTTACACTTGCACTTAGTAATTTTAGTGAAAACCTCAGATACTGTTGGTTGTGCACCTTTTTAACCAATCAACCTCCCACAGTAAAGGTGATTGA